ATTTTATTTTTGTTGTGACTGAAACAACTAAAGAGTATGTAGCCATTTCACAACTGTTGACATTTTAAAACCCCTGTTCTTTCTTCTCTTAAAAACCACAATAGCTAAACTAACTTTTTTTTAATTGAAGAGTTTGTCACTCTGCCTAAATTCATCACCCAAGAGCTGTAATTTTTCAAAATTTGACACTTCTTAGAGACTATTAAAACTGATAGCTTTAGTTCTTTACTGAGGTTTCTAAAAGTTATTGCTGTAAGTAATTTGAGTCACCACTAAGGTAAATGAAAGTCACTGACTTACAAGTGTTTTTATACATAGAGAAGTCATCTAGAATACTGGATCTCAAATTTGTTCAAGTGAGAGAGCACCTGGTGTCATCCTTGCAGATTTAATTCTAATTTAAAAAACCCAAGCAATTTTGCTGACAGAAAATATAACTATATCATAAATCTACAGGTCTTTCAATTTTTAAATAAAATAGTGCATTAAATACCTAAAAGAAACTACATATTCTCAGGATAAAATCAAATGACATTGAGTTTACATGTCAATTCTGGGGAGAAGCATGAGTAGGCTCCATAGGGCAGCTTGATATGCCAGGAGTGGTGTCTGATTAATTATTATTATTATTTGTAAGGGTTTGGGGAATATCAGTAGCCAAAAGTTTCAAAGCAAGGGAAAGAAATACTTTGGAAAAATTCAATTTTTTTTTCCTGAGGTTAGGAGAAGATAGTATTCCTTTTTAGTTATAGAACTATATTGTTGTCTGACACATTGTTTAACCTCTCCTAAATTTTTTTGTCACCAGATACCTCTTTTATTTCTCTCTTTCATCGATTAAAGTCATATAGTGTATTGCCCATCTGAGATTCTAGTAAACATGGAGTAATCACTAGTTGCTGTAATTCTAGCCAAAGGAATGAGCTTTTAGGTGGTTTCTGTTATGGTGGGTAAATAGAGTCTTGGTGGTTCCATTAAGCAATTGGACATGTTGAAAAGAGCTTGAAGCCTGGACTTTAAGTAATATATTTCTAAAACATGGTTCAGGAACCACTGTTCCACAGTAACATTTTAAATTGAAAATTTAACAGTGTATACTTGTAATATAAAAAAAGTGGTCATCAAATAAATTAAATTTTGAGACAATTGGGATGAAAATATCTGAAATGTATGAAAACTGCTTGGTGTTGCACAGTACCTTGTTAAATATAATTTTCTGGTTATTTTTAAAATAAAGAATTTACCGTGTTGCAGTTATTTTTTGGCTTTCCTTTTTTTGAGTTACTATATATGTTTAAAGACAAATTTCTTGGTTAAACTTTCTTGTCTCTGTTGTTATTCTTCATTCAAAGTTAAATTTGAGAAAATGGAGTAATGTAGAACGTAGCATGTGGCAATTCACTACTACAAGTGTAGGGGCCATGCTAGTCAGAATGTTCTTGGTTTTCTTTGTTTTCTGTTATTTATTAGTCTTTAGAAGCCCCTCATTAATTCATACCATCTTTAAGGCTGACAGTAACCTCTTTGTATAGGATTTCTACATTCTAAAGGAAAGATAATCTTGTTACACTACAGCTATCCTGTAGATCAATTCTGATATTATACATCTCCTTCAGACTTTGTGCCCTGACCTCTGTCCCTTGCCCTTACCTCTTAGGTAGGTAAGTATTACCTAAAACTCCTGCAGAAAATGCCCAGGTGGATTGCCTTGCCCTTTCTACTCTGTAAGGTATGATTCTAGACCAGATCAGTTATGAGAGGCTCTATTTTCAATTTGCACCTGTGTTTCCTACTAGAGAAACGCTGAGAATTTGAATCTATTTTAGTATCAATCTTGGAGTTCTTGTTTGGTTCTAATCTTAGCCAACCTCACAGAGTCTAAAATTGGATCTGAATCCAATTATTTGTTACCCCAAAGCCAGACAAAAACTAGGCTTTCTATAAATGTTTCTTGAGTTGACCTGAATGCCTACATTGGCTTAGGATCTTATTTATCCATTGGGAAGGAACACTTACTTAGCTAGGGCTAACAATCCCCTAATTTGACCTAGTTGCAATATTCTTCACCAGCAGTACATACAGATTGATTTCTGAAAATAGGAAAACACACAAGAAAACATTGACCTCATGGTCATCACACAATCTGGGTATAGAGATGTGTTTGTGCATACATGTAAAAAAAAATCAGTCGGTAATTTATACTTGGTTTTGGGATCAACTTCTGAATTTGCCTAAATTTGTTAAGAATTTGTGAGTTCTATTTAAAGATATCGGGGCCAGAAACTAGAACCGCTTGTGTTTAAATGTTATTGCTATTCTGTGCACAGCTCAAAGTTCGGGTATTTTCTCTTAAGCATTCCTCTCCTCCCCTTCCACCAAACAAAAGGAATTGCACTGAATTAGCTGATTTCTATAGGAATTAAGTCTGTAAGGTTCAACAAAGCAGAAGAAATATACATTTATATATTAAAAGATAAAAATTATTTGACAAGCTTGAGATTCTATATAGAAAATCTAGATAACTAAGGATTTTAAGAAATGGATTTTTTTCCTGAATTACCCAGAATTCTTGATATTTTTCTCAAATTGATTTCTTTGTTATAGAATACATAGTGACTAAACTGTTTACTTCTGATAATATTGATAGAACAACTCTTAGAATTATTTAATGGCCCAAAACCCAGATGAAACATTGGTTTCCAAACCCTCTTCAAATATCCAGTACAGACTTATCGCAGGGTATATATTTTTCATCTCACTTTCACCATTAGCTTTCTGTTGACATTAATATTTGTTGGCTCTTTTTTCACTCAAATCTTATTGCAGGATAAAATTGTCAAGTAAGGAAGATGATAAGAAAACTGCTCTGTATGTAAAAGAGCATAAAATTATTAATTTGCTTTAATGAGGTGTTATTCATTAGTGATTATTTATATAAAAGTAAACTTCCAATCAAAAACTAGAATTTACTAAAAACTTTGTTCAACATTTTAGTAAATCAATGCCATCTATACATGAACTGATTAGTATCTGATTTATATGTTGCTATTCTCTATTTTAGGTGTGGAAATTAAAACAACACAAATTTTGACTGGGGCTTTGGTCAAGCAAATGCTAAAAAGGTATATTTATTTATACACTATCTAAACATTGTTATTAGAGAATTTAAACTATTTACCTTTCTTTAACCAAGGGTCACTTATGCCAATCAGAGTAATAAGGAATAATTCTATCCTTAAGATCATAAAAGAAGGCAGTGTCACAATTTTTTCTATTGCTCAATATTTACCCACTCTTTTCTCTTCCTTCCTGAGGGCCTCAATCCCTCTTCTGCATTTTTCTCCAGTCTTTGAAATACCAAAATAGGTTATCTCCACTCATTTTTCTGGGACATAGGCCAAAAGCATGTAATTTTAAACCTACTTAGCAATCAGAAACTAAGTCTACAATAGTAATGAGTTCTACAGTTGGAAATAAACCTTAGTGTATTCCTTAACTAGAAGACTCTTTCTGTTAAGAAAGGTCATTCTTTTCAAGGGAGAGTATAGCTCCAGGAATAAATTTCCTGGAGAAATGGGGGAGAAAAACAAGGGGATATGAGCTTTTCCAGACAAATCATGTAACTTTGGCAGCCAGTTGTAGACATGACAGTCTGATCACGCTTATATCCACTAACTCATCTAGATATAACCTTCAATCATTATATTTCTTTAGAATGAACATTTTCCTGCTTGTTTTGTCTAGAGGTGCCTACTTAGTTGCTTACTTTTTCCTCATGCAATAATTATGCTTTGACATTTACAAAGTGTTTAGAAGGATCCAGTCTGTAATCTTGTGTTCTGTTTGCTTGATTATGTATGAGTTCATTTGTAATCAATCTTGAACCTATATTAGATACTGTACTTTGAGATATGATTAAATTTTCTTTCTATTTTTTAACCATTACTGGTTAGAATAAAATATTTATGTAAATTGGGAAGGCAAAAGCTAATAAATTCCATCTAGAATCCCAAAAGATACACTTTGATGCATCCTACATTTCTGAGATGCCTCTGTACAAATCATTTACCCTGTCATAAATAGAAAGAGTTTATATTTGGTCCTGTTGTGGAGACTGGCTAATGGGAGAGTCTCAGAAAATCCAGAGAAAGTGAAGCTGTCCAAAAAGCCAAGAGGCAGCAGGTTGGAGCTGCTTGGAGAGATCTGTGAGATAGTCTCTTGTGTACAAAGCAGTAAACAAGTATCTTGTAGCTTTTGAAGACTTTGTAATACTAGGTGATTTTATAGGTGTTCTAATCCAAGATTTTCAGTATTTCACTGGGTAAAAGTAGTGAAGAGGAAGACCTCTTTTGTCAGTCAACAAATCAAGAAACCACCTATGAGAAAAAGGGGCAGAAGATAGCGTAAAAAGACAGGCCCTTAACTCACAAAGTTTAAGCAGACTTTCATTAGCACTTAATAATACTATCCCCAAATTTATCTAACAGATCCTAGATACAGTAAGATCATTAGATTCAGAAAGAAGAATGTATTTTCATATATATTTTTTCCTACTTGTCCACTTTAGCCAAAGGAAAATTCTTAGTTCTTGCAATATGCTATTTTGTTTTGCAGTCTGAACACTTGCATTTAAACATTGAGAAAATGAAAACGTATGGAGGAAGAAGACTCAAGAATTTTGTTGTTGTTAATACCAGTAATTAGATCACTTGTCAAGGTGTAGTCAAATATTATAGCTTGTGTGAATTTTTTGAACCTGAAATGCAACAAGAATTTAAATTAGATAAGTTGATATGAAGAATAAGTTCTTGATTTGGGAAGCTGACTTGTGGCTAATTCAACCATAATTTGAATCTAGATTAGCGAAGCATTAAGATTAAAATATGAATTATATTCCATGTCACCATAGTTTACATTTATCA